CTATAAAGCTGCTTCCACACTGATGCACTGTGGTTTACTCACACCGTTGGTGCAGTGCAGTGCGCTTGCAGCTTTCCTGTGGGATAGTTGCGCTTTCCCATACACTTCTATTATATCTTGATATGAAAGCGTACCAAAACTCCTTCACTGTGCTACCCCCCTGGATCAGTGTGAAAGCAGTCTAATAGTTGTTAACCCTTTTACAGGTGCTAATATGCCCATTGCAAAAGTGCAGTGCATGTGTTGTTTACTGAACTGACCCTTTTTCTCCTCCAGCTTCTGCCATCATTGCTCTCCATCTTCAGGCTGCTAAAAAGGCCCCAGGCAAAGTGCACTTGGTATCACTCTGACTGGGACAGGAGCCAGCGAAACAGAAGAAGCATCGGCTTATACGACTCCTGCTCCCTCTGCAGCCACTTGCTTCCTTCGCAGTTGGCACTGGCTCAATGCACTCTGATGCTCTGGGATGCAGACCGACAAGCCCACATCAAAATAAATGGGTTGAAGACCGCTGGCATGTGTTTCCCTGGTTTGACGTCATGGGCCACATCAGAGGGCTCAGGTTGCGGGCCATGGATTAAGCACCCCTACTCTATACCCACAGTTGATCCAGAGGAAGGTAAAAAAAAATTATTATAAAGTATAGTCTAATTTGCTTCATCAGGTAACAAAAAAATTCCTTCCCGATTCCCTAAGGCAATTGCTTATTCCCTGGATCAAAAATCTCTGCGTTACTACTTATAAATGTTAATAGGCAGTTATATTCTGTGCATTTTGGAATGCATCCAGATTTTTCAATCAATAGAACTAGTTCCTGATGGAATCTATTCCACATTTTCAGAGTTCTTACTGCGTCAAAGACTTTCAGAATGCAGAAGGCTATTTTCCGCCAGATACAAAGAGCGCCGCCTTCTCTGGTAGCTTTAGTACTGGTAGATTGTCATGTGGCACTGGCTTCATGGCTGAAGACAGATTTGGGTATTAAGCTAATTTCTTATTTTCACCAGAGAAACCAGTGACATTAGTCTGACGGGAAACAAGCTCTAAAATCAACAGCAGTTCTTCCGCAACAAATGTGAAGAGCCCAGGATTAATCTTGATCACCAATCTTACAATCAAATGTACAGTTCATAAGCTTTCATAACAAGCTAACTAATGGCGTGTCTTTGATTCTTAAGTGTGAACGGGCCCCAAATGTAGCATAACGTATTGCGGCTGTTCTGACATTGATGAGAAATTTCTGCTCTCACCAATCATCCTATAGCAAGTCTATAAGTGCCTTACTTGCTATGTACATTACATATGCATAGACAATGCTATGCCTTGAAACAATTGCAAATCAAAATACCTGGAAATGGATAAAAACTTAATGAGTAGCATATGTGCATGCAAGATGCTTTCCAGGCAACATCCAGTCTAAGCATGCCCAAACTGTACTGGTTCCACAAATGTTCTGCAATATGCCCTGAGTGCATGGCTGGACCTGCATGAGCTCCACAAAGCATTGTATAATTTACTTTGAAAAATTAAACTATATTAGAAATAAATGCAACTGAAGATTTCTATAAAATAGTACATGACAGGATAAATTGCAAGTTATTTTTGTGATTAGCAGCCAAAAATCTATAAGATACACCCAAAAGTGTTCAGGGAGCAAAATGTTCATTTATTACCACATATAAAACACATAAATATATATAGTGAACTTAGAGCAAAGTGGTCCATTTTAAAGGATAAGTTCACCTTTTGACAAAAAAATAATAAATGCACACTTTTTTTGCAGGTAAAAAAAATGTGCATTTATTATTTTTGGTTGCAGGATCCTGTAAAGCATTGCACCAGCGATCAGCAGAACGCTGGTGCCCTGCAGGTCTCCTGCAGACCTGTCAGTATATTTGCTTGCCCGTACATCCGGGGAAAACAGATACACTGACAGAAAGAATCAATGAACTACCACGGCGCTCCACAATGCTGTGGTAGTTCATTGAGAACTACAAGTTGGCATCTGCAAAGGATGTTGATACTTTTAGTTCATGTATTCACAGAACTCTGCGAAAAAAAAGATGCGGCCGTGTGGGCAGAGCCCCGAATGGACCACTGTTTTTAAAAAGTGACAGCTTGTATGGGGAATTTTTCCCCATACTGCTGTCACAGGAGGGGGGGGGGGGTGCAGCATTGGGAACATGTTACATGTTCCAAAAGGTGAACTTATCCTTTAAGATCATTGCAAAAGATAATTGGGCAGAAGGGTTCAAGATTGCAGGGATGGCGTTTGCCATCTTCAAGTATTAAAATGTCTGCCTTTTAAAGCGGTCAGGATACTTTCCCAAATTTCTTTGCACAGGTTGACAACCTCATTTTCTGTGCTGACATTGATGGCCTGTTCATAGCTTTGAGTTGTGAGCATGAACCACTAGAATGACATCTAGACTGTCATTCTCAAGGCTCTAGACTAGGGGTCTCCAAACTATGGCCCTCCAGGTGTTGAGGAACTGCAAATTACATGAGGCCTTGCAAGCCTGTGACAGCCACAGGCAAGACCCCAGAGGCAGAAGCATGATGGGACTTGTAGTAATTCAACAGCTGGAGGGATATAGTTTGGAGACCCCTGCTCTAGACTGTATTTGCAAAATAGGAATGTACACCCTTCCATACCTGTTGGCTATGCTGCAGACATGAAAAACATATGCAAACATGAAACTGTTGAAGTACAACCAGTACACCAAGTACAACTGGAATATCTGTGGAGATTTCAAAGTCCATGGTGCTTAGAAAGCAGGTCTGATATATCTAGCACTTTTGTTTTTATATCTGAATGGGACAGCTGTGCAAGAGAGTTGCATTACATAAAAAAAAACTGGCCACTTCAAAAGAATTTGGTCTCCAGGACAAAAAACAGAGCACTTGAACCACTTGTTGACCCAACAAAGTTATTTTTGCCTCTGCTTCACATAAAACTGAGAGAAATATTGTGAAAAAACAACAAGTGAGGAAGGTGCAGGTTTTTGTTGTTTGAGATGTTTGTAAGAATAACTGATGCCAAAATTTAGAAAGGCATTTTTGTTGGTCCACAAATCAGTAAATCGTCAATGACAAGCGGTTTGAAGATCTGTTAATGTGCCAGAGAACATTATCTAGCAAGCATTCAAGGATGACGCTGAGAATTTTGCATCTACCAAACCAAACTACATTCAGCTGGTTGACAAACTTCTTTTACAAACATTATACAAGGCCATGGAGTGCAACAAGTCACTGAAGATTCATTTTCTGCATTCACACTTGGGCTTCTTTCAGAAAATCTAGGTACAGTCAGTGACAAACAAGATGAAAGTTTTCAGCAGGATACTGAAACAATGGAAAAATGGTATCAGGGCAACTTGGAATCCCATCAACGCTGGCTGACTATTGTTGAGCACTGCAGTGTGATGCACCAGGCACTAATGAAAATCATCAGCAAAGCCATTAGCCCTGTTAAACGCATGCAACATGCTGGAAACATTATACGCTTAAACATACTCTATTATGGTCATTAAAAGTTCATTTTATATTTGTCAAGATTCCTATGTGATACAATCATTCTTAAATTATAGGTTTGTTCAGCTTAAAGGGGTCTATAATAACCACTAAAATGTTTCAAAAAGCAAAACTTTTGAAAACAATGTGTCCATTTACCCCCTTGAATGTCTCTTCTCAAGAATAAATTCAGTTCAGCAAATCTTTCCTCTGAGTTCCTCCATGCCTCTTACCAATTTAGTTCTCAAAAATCATTTTTGTGTATGGTTTCCCAAAAATGAACTGCACATTCCAGTTAAAGAAGTTCACCTTTCATAACATGTTACATCCATATCCAGAGTGTAACATGTAATATGTTACTAAATGAGCATACCCCACACCATCCTGAGAACCCATTTTGACAGCAGGCTGGGGATCTCCTCCCTGTACCCTTCACATTTAAAAAAAAAAAAAAAAAAAAAAAGGGGGACCATGCAGGGATCTGCCCCTGGCCACATCATTCATTTACAGAGTTCTCTGAATAGGAGAATTAAAACTATGAGGTACAGGCAGACAGCTATACTAACAGTCTGCAGAAGCTTTGCATTGCACCCGTGAAATGCTGATTTTGTATCTGCAAAAGATATACATTTATTTATTTTTTTTAAATGTGAACTCTTCTTTTAACTTGCCCTCCAGTGGATTTACCCCCCCCCCCCTTCTAGCCAGGCCATTTTTGTGATACAGCACTGTGTTACTTTAACCGACAATTGTGCAGGCATGCAATGCTGTACATTATTGAAATGTATGTCCTTTTTTTCCCCACAAATAGAAGCTTTGCATTGCACCCATGATATGCTGATTTTGTACCTGCAAAAGATGTACATTTATTTATTTTTTTTTTAAAAAAGGTGAACTTTTCCTTTAACCACTTGCCCTCCAGAGGACTTACTCCCCTTCCTGGCCAGGCCATTTTTGTGATATGGCACTATGTGACAATGACGCAGTCATGCAATGTTGTGCATAAGGAGTCTCCAAAGTTTATAAGCAAAGGGCCATTTTACTGTCCTTCAGACTCTAGGGGGGCCGAACTGTGGCTAGTGGGAGAAGAAAATGTCCTGGCATCAGTGGGAGTAAACAATGCCTCGTCATTGTTATTAATGGGTGATATAGTGCCACCTCACTGGCATCAATGGGAGGTATAGTTTCCCATTGTTGATGTCAGTAGGAGGAAGTGTCCCATCATTGGTGTCAGTAGGAGGAATAGTGTCCCATAATTGGGGTAAGTAGGAAGAATAGCGTCCCATCATTGCGGTCAGTGGGAGGAATAGTGCCCAATCATTGGTGTTAGTGGGAGAAATGTGCCCCATTATTGTTGACAGTGGAAGGAATAGTGCCCCATCGTTGGTGTCAGTGGAAGGAATAGCGCCCCATCGTTGGTGTCAGTGGGAAGAATAGTGCCCCATTGTTGGTGTCAGTGGGAGGAATAGTGTCCTATAGTTGGTGTCAGTGGGAGGAATAGTGCCCCATTGTTGGTGTCAGTGGGAGGAATAGTGCCCCATTGTTGGTGTCAGTGGGAGGAATAGTGCCCCATTGTTGGTGTCAGTGGGAGGAATAGTGCCCCATTGTTGGTGTCAGTGGGAGGAATAGTGCCCCATTGTTGGTGCCAGTGGGAGGAATAGTGCCCCATTGTTGGTGCCAGTGGGAGGAATAGTGCCCCATTGTTGGTGCCAGTGGGAGGAATAGTGCCCCATTGTTGGTGTCAGTGGTGGGAACTATGCCCCACTGTTGCTGATGGTGGGGGGAACAATGTCCCAAGGGCTGGATAAAAGCAAGCAAAGGGCCGCATTAAGCCCCTGGAATGCAATTTGGAGACCAGTGCAATTTATATCCTTTTTTTTCTCCCACAAATAGAGCTTTCTTTCGGTGTCATTTGATCACCTGTGAGTTTTTAATTTTTTGCGCTATAAACAAAAACATTTTGAAAAAAATAAAATATATTGTTGACCTTTTGCTATAAAACATATCCAGTAAACAAAATAAAACAATCAAATTTCTTCATACATTTAGACCAAAATGAATTCTGCTACTTGTCTTTGCTAAACAAAATCCCAATACATGTAAATTAATTGGTTTACGTGAAAGTAATAGCATATACAAATGGTGGTATATATACTGGAATTTTTATTTCTTTTATACTAGTAATGGCGATGATCAGCGACTTATAGCGGGACTGAGGTCGGCATTCTGACACTGGGTGGGAACTGACTGCCACTGACAGCACAATGACACTAATACATTGGTCAGTGCTAATAAAAAGCACTGAAACTGTACTAATGACACTGGGCAGGAAGGTGTTAACATCTGGGGCGATCAAAGGATTAACTGTGTGCTGTTTTACATAATGTGCTGTGTGTGTCTTACTATGGAAACATGCTGCTGTGTATTTCTCAGAGAAATACACAACATCATGTGCTTACTGGCAAGAGAGAGACCTGTGTTGTTTACACATGGGTCTTTCCCGTCTGTTTTACTTGGCAATCGTTGGGTGCTGGCAGGGAATCATCTGACATCCATAGCCACCAATGATGATGACCGATGTGAACTGATGAAAAACTGATGTGAATTGTTGAAAAATGATGTGAACTGATGAAAAACTGATGTGAACTGATACGTTTTTTCTTGGAAAAAATGTGACTGAACGGATTTAAAAAAACGGAATGCCCATGTGAAAGGACCCTAAGTATTCCCCTAACCTCAGGTGCAGACCAATTTCTGCTTTCAGCACTGTCACACATTGAATGGCAATTACTCAGGCATGCAACACTGTGCCAAAAGGAAGTTTTTTTATCATTTTTTGAGACAGAAATAGCTTTCTTTTGGTGGTATTCAACTCGTTTTTTTTTTTTGCTATATAAACAAACAAAAAAACAATAACCAAAAACACTGTACATAATTTAGTCTTAATTTATATATTTGAAAATTCAAAAGTCCTGATGCACGGACTGCCTATCTCATTTCTTGAGACCCTAAAATGCCAGAACTGTATAAATACCCCCCAAATGACCCATTTTTGGGAAATAGACAGTACAAGGTTTTTAACAAGAGGCATTGGGAGAGATTTACTAAAACTAGAGCACTCAGAATCTGGTGCATCTGTGCATGGTCATCACCTCCGAACCCCACCGAGGGCTTCTTCCAGGCCCCTGCAATGGTGCGTTTTGCAGCTATAAATAGGTACAGTATGTTACCAGCTTCTGTTGGTAGGAGAAGAGACCTGGCATTAGGCAGTGAAGAAGTGCATGTCTGGGATGCTTGCAGAAGGGCACATGAAAGAGGGTCGAGAGGAGGACCCGCGACCAAAAGCCCACCAAACGGGGCAGGACCACCATATATGGATCTCATCTCCATGTTGGCCACAGTCCCTGAATCATCTATCAATATATAAAGGGTTCGAGTGAGCTATGTGGGCCAGAACCCAGTACCAGTGGAGGATGACTTTATAGACCGCCTTGATGGTGACAGTGTTAGAAGAACATTTGGCTACGGCAGACCATGTCTTGCTCCAATCATCCAGGTCTATAGAGACCGATACATCTCGTTCCCATTTGGAAACATACAGGTAGGAGCGGATGAACTTCCTGCGGATAGGGAGGAATAGATGGAGGAGATGGTACCGAGCTCCTGGAGAGTAAAGGCAAATGTGTTTAAACAGTGTTTTCTGGAATGGGAAAGAGAAATTACAATGAAAGGTGGAGATTCAGTGGTGGAGTTGTAGATACCGATATGCCTCCACAGGAAGCGCATTGTGGGTCTCAGTAATTGAGGCCCAAGAGGGGAAGGTGCGGGGCCCCCAAGACTTGGCAGACCTGGGAGAGTATGGCAGTTATCAAGACACTAGTATGGGGTATGGTGCTGATCAGAATGCTGGGTTCTGGGAAAATGTGGAAATAAAAATTAAAATGTATTTTGTTTGCTGCCAATTAGTAAGATATTAACACACCGCATGGGTATTTCTAGAATAACACCTCAAACATTTTCTGCTACTCTTTCTGAGTATGGGGATACCACATGTGTACGACCTTTTCAATGTTTGGACTGATTATGTACTGGACACTGCAACTTGTGTGTCACAAAAATTAGCGAAACACTGCATGGGAAACAATACAGTATACTGTAATGGTCACCTGTGTATGAATGGTCAGTCAACATAGCATAGTGTAGCTTCACCTACAGCAGTCCCTGTTCCTCAAAACCTAACCTACTGGTTTGTGGCTGTTCCCATAGCATTATGTTAACTCGTCGGAAAGTACAGGAGGTCGAACAAAGGGTAAACCAAAGAGTACCTGTGGTTTCAGTAGCGCAGTTATCCGCAGAGGATGGGTGGCACCAGTGTCTTGCAGGAATGTAGCCAATGGTATGTGCAGATGGGTCAGCAACAGTGCCAAGCAAAAATGTGCTCAGCAACCAGGCAAAGCAATGATCTAAGTAGAAGGTCGGAACAGGCAACAGTCAGTTCAGGCAGCGACGTGGTCAAAGAATTGGTCCAGGCAGAATTATTAGACTTGGGGCCTGTTTTAGATAACACTGGACAAAGGGATAGAGGCTTCTTCCCACACAAATCACTTTAAAACCTCTAGTCTTCAGACCCTGATCCAGTTATTACAAAACCAAAAACATAGTTTTCTTAGCTCAGAAACACTACTCTGGATCCCCTCACAGTGGAGAAATGTTCAGACAGAGGCAGGCAAATGAATCCAGGCAGCAGGCAGAAATGGGCAGGGAAATGGCAGGTAGAGTTTTGTGTTTGTAAACTGTGTGCAGAGGCTGAAAATAAGGCTCCATTCACACTAGTCCAGTCGTTTATGTACATGGGCTGGAGAAGAAGCGGTTAAAAGCCAGTTAACACCAGAATCAAATGGGAACGCAGGCACTTCTATGCGGTGCATTCATTTGAATGGGCTACAAAATGCACTAAATTGTGGTTCGCGATGCCATTAACAATACAATGCGGTGCAAGAAAGTGCATGGAACACGTCTTTCCCGCAATGCATTCTGATATGAACCAGCGCTAACACTGGGGCATGTAAAAATCTTCAGTAATTAAATTCCTTGTATGCACAACCATATGTAACTCCACAACTAATGTCTCAGCACCATCTCATTCTCCATCATAAGGTCCTCTTTCATACTCGCTTTAACCTTCCTAGCAGTAATCCCGAGTGTGACTCGGAGTTAATTTACAGTACCAAAAGCGGTAACCCCGAGCCACACTCGGGATTACACTGTAGTCCTTGTCCTTCGATCCCCCGATCCTTACCTTGTTCTGCCATCCCCCGATGTCCCCCGCTGTGTCCTCCAGCCGATGCCGGCATCCATCTTCCAGGATCCCTTCCCTGCGAATGTCGGGACTCAGGGAGGCGGAGCCAGCAGGAGATTCAAAACTGTAAAAACATGACATACACACAATACATTGTAATCTGTTAGGATTACATTACTGTAGCAAACCATTTCACCTAAAATTTGTCCCTAGTGCTTTGTCCAGTGCCCTGCCTTCACTTTTACTGTTCTTTCTGCCTGGAAACTTGAGAACATCCATGGCATCCAAAAAGCGTCCCTTTAGGTAAAAAGGGACCAGCTAGAAAACAGCGATAGTAAATTAGAATCACTTGAAGAATTGAGAGATAGTGATTTGTGGGGAAATGCATCATCAGACACTGAAAGTGACGAAAGCAATGATTCTGCGGCTGAGCTCAGTGATGTGCAAACCTGGTGTTCTATTTCAAATTTCAGTGTTTTTGGTTTGATTACATTATTTAATTAAATTTATTATGTTTTATAATTATTATAATTTTTGATTTTGTGTTTCAAAATTTATCATACCTGGGATGTTTACTAGACTCATGTTTGGGCAGATTTAAGTGAGTTATTCCTAAGAATTACAGGCCTACAAGATAAAACAACAAATTTCCATGCAAAACAATGTACAGCTTTGACATTCAAAAATATTGTCATAATTAGACCACCAGGGAGATTAGGATAATTTGTCACACAGAGATCGACACCACCTTTTCACTTTACCCTGTCTCTCTGAAAGAGAGCACACCCAGGAATATTAATAAGCCAAATCATGTGGAGAATGAAGCCAAGATTCAGTGATACCAATTAAATCAGAAGGGTTGATTTGCTAAAGGCAACAGGCTGTTAACTTTGCAAGGAAATTTGCACCAGAGCTTAGTGAATGTGGCAAAATGTGTGCAAAGAATACCCAATATTGTGTAAGGAAAATAAAGAAAGCAGCAATGCTTGCACATGATTTGGTAATGAAAGTCAGCAGCACTTCACCTCAGTTATTAACCCCTGAAGCAAATGCCCCTGAAAAATGCAACTTCCCTTACAAAGCGAACAGCCTATTTGCCTTTAGTAAATCAATCATATAGTGTTCGTCATGCATCAAAGCTTTCAAGTCCCCTATTTTGCTTGGCAGACTTCTGACACTGATAAACAAACACTGTAATTCATTGTTACATTTTGCACTTGCATTTACCATATACTTTTTTTTTTTTTTTTTTACCGTAGAGCAAAAAGTATTGCAGTCACCATTTTTTTTTTTTTTTTTACACGTGGGAGTCTCCTTATCATTTGCTATAGCTCTCCCCCTTCCTTATTTTCAACATTTCACCCACTGTCATTGCCTGACCCCTCTCTGACCTTCCCTTGTGGGGTATTCATGGAGTAGGGTGCAGAATAAAGGGTAAGAATGTCCTGAAGGAGTATGCTGCAACCCGAGTGCAGACCATCCTGTTGTGAAATCCCT